AAAAAAGAAATCTGTGGGCGGCGCCTGTAGCTCAGTGGGTAGGGCACCAGCCACATACACTGAGGCTGGCTGGTTCAAACCCGGCCCAGGCCAGCCAGCTAAAAGAACAATGACAACTGCAACAATAAAAAAAAAAAGCCACGGTTCAGTGCCCATAGCTCAGTAAGTAGGGCACTGGCTACATACACCCGGGCTGGCGGGTTTGAGCCTGGCCCAGTCCTGCTAAACAACAATGACAACTGCAACCAAAATATAGCCAGATGTGGTGATGCCTGTAGTCCCAGCTACTCAGGAGGCTGAGGCAAGAGAATCAAGCCCAAGAGTTTGAGGTTGCTGTGAGCTATGATGTTACAGCACTCTACCCAGGGCAACAGCTTGAGACTGTCTCAAAAAAAAAAAAAAAAGGCTCAGCACCTGTGGCTCAAGTGGCTAACATGCCAGCCACATACACCTGAGCTGGCAGGTTCGAATCCAGTCTGGGCCTGCCAAACAACAATGATAGCTGCAACCAAAAAATAGCTGAGTGTTGTGGCAGGTGCCTGTAGTCCCAGCTACTTGGGAGACGGAGGCAGGAGAATGTCTTGAGCCCAGGAGTTGGAGGTTGCTGTGAGCTGTGATGTCACAGTACTCTATCAAGGGTGACAGCTTGAGGCCTCTGTCTAAAAAAAAGAAAGAAAGAAAGAAAGAAATCTTCTGTGTTTGAAACAAGCCACCTTGCTTTGGGGCTGCTGAGAGGTGCAACTGATCAGAGCTGGCCAACACCACCAACTCCACCTCCGCAACAAGGTGTGCAGGGTGGGTGACACATGAGGGAGCATGTGGGAATGCCTCTGCAAGACACCCACTCCCTGGGTGGCGCCTGTGGCTCAGTGGGTAGGGAACCCACCCCATATACCAAGGATGGCGGGTTCAAACCTGGCCTGGCCTTGGCCAAACTGCAACAAAAAAATAGCCGGGTGTTGTAGTAGGCGCCTGTAGTCCCAGCTACTCAGGAGGCTGAGGCAAGTGAATCACCTAAGCCCAGGAGTTGGAGGTTGCTGTGAGCTGTGTGACAACACGGCACACTAATGAGGGTGATAAAGTGAGACTCTGTCTCTACAAAAAAAAAAAAAAAGACAATCACTCCCTGACAGGAGAGATGTTTGGTCTGTCCCTTTCCCATCTGAAAGTGGCTGAGGTCCAGGTGCTGTTGTTTAGCATGTCAAAGAGGCAGCAGGCTGTCAGTAACCCAAGAAGCAGGATCCCCTACTGCAGTCCCCTGCAGGAAGGGGTACAGGGAGGCTGCCTTGTA